TAACCCACTAAACATTTCAAATTTATTAGAGAAATGTTACATGGACAAAGCAGAAATTTTTAAAAGTTACATATAGTGAGAACTACCTCTTACAAAAGTGCACGTGTGTGTGTGTGTGTATGTGTGTGTGTATGAACACACTGGAAGAACTCTGGAAATTCATCCCCAATGTTAAAACATCTTTTTTTCCCCCTGGGTCTTTGCATTTCATTGGATGATTGTACTTTCTAATTTTCTTATAATGACTCTGTATTTTGGTCAGACTATTAAAAGGTTTTTTCCTCTTTTTGATTAATATTTACTTAAATGTTACAGAAAATCAGAGTGAAGGGGAGGACCAGAGCAAAGTCCAGGGTGATCAGGAATGAAAGGTTCTCCAGAGTGAAAAGAAAAGTAGGTGCAACAGTTCATTTGATGCTGGTGTAGGGTTTTCGGTTTGTGTTTGTCTCTGAATTCTCTTTTGTGAAGGTAAAAATGCACTATTAGAAACATAAGTTGCAGTTGTTTAAAAAGTGAATTTTTTCCCTTTGCTCTTAGAAACTCTTTTCTTAGAAATCAAGGGTTAGACTTAAAGGGCCAATATAAAGAAAGAACATAAAAGCCTTTTTTCTTACAAGTTATGTTTCTCTCTTTGATCAAATCTAAGATATATTATTTGTTTAGTCCTTTTCCTTTAAAGAAAAAAATACCAAGAGCACTTTTTCTGTGCTGATAAAATCATGAGAGAGAAAAAGGAAAGTCAGCCCTGATCTGGTAACAAATAATCTAGTTGGGTAAATCAGGTACATATTGCAAAAGTTAATGAAAACATGGGGGCAGTATGCCCTTAGGCTTTAAATGACTTTCACAGAGAAGTCCTACAGCTTTTAAAGGATTGGCAACTTAACTGTGGTCGTGGTCTAGATTGGCACTGTTCAATAGAACTTCGAATAGCAGTGGAAATTTTTGTTCTTTGCTGATTAACAGTTGCTACTAGACAAACATGGCTACTGAGTACTTGAAATGCAGTTAGTACAGCTGAGGAACTGTATTTAAATTTTTATTTAATTTAAATAGGTATACACACATATAGTTCATACTACCATATTGAAGAGTACAGGCCAATTTCTGGAAGATATCAATAGTAAAAGTAGAACATGGTATACTTCTTCAAGAAAAGGAAGTATCTAAAGCTAAGAATAAAGAAATGCATTCAAAGAAATGATTTCAGGGAAAAGCACGGTGAATTGTGAATTGTGCTGTTGTTATAATAAAAGTGTGGAGTGTGTGGTTAGGGGTATGTGAAAGTGTCCAGCTTCCAGATGGGGGTTGTGATGGGAATCTTAGCTACACCAGACAAATCACATGACTGAGAATTAGGGTTTGAAGGTAGGTAATGGGGGAATCATTGATTACTTCTCATGAGTAATAACAGTAACTCTTACCGTGTGTTAGGCATTATGTTGAGTTGTTCATATAGCTTATCTTTTTCAATTACAATAACATTTTTAGTATTATATTCCTGTCTGAGCTTGGACGAAGTGATTTTGGCATCTTCACTCTGCCGCCATCTTGCCGGATCCCCCTTACTATAACATTTTTAAGGGAATGGAGATCCATTTGTGGTGAGTTTCATTTGTGGTGCTGGAAGGGTAAGAGATCAAGGGCAGGTAAAAGCAGCAATTTTAATATTGGAAACGCATAAAAGGTAGTGATGAGGGTGAGAGATGTACACGTTAAAAGGTCTCTTTCGTGACATTAGGACATTAGCATCAGTAGTAGTTGATGTCTGACTATATACAGAGGGGGAATGAAAAAGGTAGTGAGACTGTATCACCAGGGATTCCGATGAGGACAAAATCCTGGGAGCACCAACAATTCTGGGACCCATGAAGGCTGATGACTTAGAAAAGAGATTTTGAGAAGAATGAAGATAGTTGGCAATGAGAACAGTTAAAGATTTTCAAGAATCCTGCAGGCAAATTAAAGATGGGGATGGAGAGATGGTACAGGGACCTGAGTTAAGACAATGTTGATAAAGGCTGAGGATTCAAGAGGAGAAAAGTTAATTTTGGAAAGGAAATGTGGCTATTTGTGCCACGTTGACTGTAGGTAACAAGTCCTCTAGATGATATCTTACTGGCTGGGGAAAATGTGAAGCCAGCATTTATGAGGTAAATCAGGGCTGGAGAGGAGAATTTGTATATATTCTCCCAGGACAGAAAAAGGAAGCGAAAAGGCCAAGGACAAAACTTGGAGCAAATGCCCACTCATAGAGAGCTAAATGAGAAAGAAGAGCCAGCCAGGGAAGAAAGGATGACAACTATACTAGGATTCAAGGGAGAATATGAAAGGTGAAGGAGAACCAGAATTTCCATTTGCTGCAATGAGATCAAGGAAAAAAGACTAAGAAAAGGGTTGTGGTTTGCTAACCCTAAGTGGCCTATCCAGCTTCCATTTTATTACCTTGTTTTGTATTCCTAAAGCAAGGTCAGAACTGCATGGTCATAGGAGCCCAACCCTATGAAGCACCTTTCACACCAATTAAGAGCATAAAGCTACATAACTCTGGGAAGGGTGTGCATCAAGAAGTATGACCAGGAACATGGGGGTGGGGAGCTGATGACGGATGCATAAAATTACTCCTAACTTATACATCATGAGGTATGACCGGGAACAAGGCCTGAGGGTGGGGGTGGGGGTGGGGCACTGACTAATGTATGAAGAAGGACCTCAAAAGCTGATGGGTGGAATGTCTTATTGGGGAATCAGGGCTTGATACCAAGCTATTAGCAGGTAAGATATACAGTTCCACCCTTCCCCTGTTTCTTCTACTCCTCTTTTCCTGCTTCCTCGTGTGATTAATGCTGTTTGACTGGTTCACCAATAAAAAGACCAGGATCTTGTTCTTGAGCAGCCAGCCTGCATTATGTAGCCTGCTCCATGACTCCCCTCTCTTTATTAGTGTGGGGTTGCGCAATACAACAAAGGGTGACTGAGTATATCAAGGACCTACTTGGGGGAAAGGGAGAAACAAGTGTAGAGGATTTATCTGGCCAGTTTGGCAGTAAAAGGAGTGAGAACAGGGAAAGAGCTTGAGGGGTTAAAAGAGTTTCCCTCCACATTCCCAGACTCATTCAGACTAGACAGAGAAAAAGAACCTAGTGCAAAGGAAAAGGAAGATGGGGGAAGATGAGACAAACTCACACCTGAGTCCTGGCTTAGGAAGGTAGACACCCCTGTGTCTTTGGCCATTGGACAACAGTTCACAAAATGGATGGTACTGGTAGAAATACTTTGAAAGAGTGGCAGAGGGTGCTGGAGCTAGGTGTTCTTTTATCTTCTCAGTGAAACAAGAATCATGGCCACCTGCCAGGAAAGAGGGGAAAAGGGAAATGTTTTAGATGGAGAGATATGTAACAGCAACAATTGAGGCTTCCTTGGAGACTCTCCAAGAAATGAATAAAAGGGGGCCAGATTAACATGTCATGATTCCATGACTTTAAGCTGCCATCTCTGATTCACTCCTAGAAATGAGAATCGTATCAACCACTACCCTCATTTATCAAATGCTTATTATGAGTGTTTCACATACTATGCCACTTAATTTTCCCAACAACCTAATGAAATCGTATCAATTTCAGTTATTTCCAAATCATAAAAAATAATCTGCAGCTCAAAAAGGTTTCACCTTCTTAAAAAAAAATCGCTTACTACATTGATACTAGTCTAGGCACAGGAAAAGACAGGAGTTGAAGAGGTACAAACAGAAAAGCAAACGAATACACGAATCAAATGATGTCAATTCTTGCAAGTGGTGTAAAAACAATATAGGTGATGATGTAATAGCTGTAATGCATGTGGGTTAGCAATGGAGGGAAACCGGAAAGCCCTAGACCACCTTAGGAAGGGCAGGGGGTGTCCCTGAGAAGACAAATGAGCTGAGAACTTTGGAATTAGATGGAGTATTCCAGAGAAGACAAATGAGCTGAGAACTCTGGAATTAGATGGAGTATTCCAGGTCAAGGAAAAGGCAAACGCTGAGCCTGACACAAGAGGTTGCTCGCTTCCTTGAGAGTGTGCGAGGTTGGTGCATCTTAAGTTTGGCCAGCTAAGGGGTACTGTTCAAATTTTGGAGGCGCCACGGAAAGCCAAGGACGTAGTTTCACCCGATTCAGTGGAACGAGGCACTGAGAAGCCGGGCCAGGTTGCCCAACTCATCGACTCGCGTCCTTTCACCCGTGTGGACGGCCCGCACATGGCGCAGGGGTGAGGCCACCGGCAAGGGGCCGCTTCAGGCCGAGGGGCGCGGGTCGCGGCCGCGGCGTCGCCAGCGTCACGACAGCAAGACCGCAGTGCACGCTCTTCCCGCAAGCAGCTCCCCTCCTCCGCCCCAACAGTCGTCCCAGCCGTCGCCCCCGCCCACCCGCCCGCTAGACTGGCTCCGTCGTTCACCCCGAGCGGCAAGCCCGTCTCCCACAACCTCGGAACGACAGGACGCCGGCACTGGCGGGGGCCGAAATAATCCACCCCCAGGGCGAAGGCCCGCGGACAATCGCCCATTTTCCGTCCCTCCCGTTTCCCCCCGAGGCTTTCCCGAAACGACGCGCCTCCCGGAGCGCGCTCCGAGCCACCCCTTCCAACAGCGAGACGATTGGTTTGGCCCCTAGGTCCGGACTGGCTGCCGACGTACGCCGCGGCCGGGGATTGGAGGACGCGGGCTCCGTGCGAGTTCGCGGCGCCCATTGGCTCGTTCTCCGCGGTTGTGGGCGGAGTGGTTCCGGTCGGTGTCCACCCTCTTGTTTACCGAGCGCGCATTTGTGGCGCTCTCGGAGCGCTGGGGCGGTCTCCCAAGTTCCGTACTTAGCCGCCCGGACCAATGAGGCCCTTGCTCCGCCCCGCCCTTCCCCGCGTACGCCCTCTGCGTGGTGCGGCCCGCATCTTCACAGCCGCGGCGCCTGCGGACGCCCGCCGCGTCGCTCCGCCCGCGCGGGTCGGCCTCCTCCCCCTCAAGGGTGCGATTGGTACGGCCCGCGCAGAGCCTCCTTCGGGAGCTGGGTGGCTGCTCCCCCCTTGAGTCGGCGGCGCTTGGTGCCGCCCGGGAGAACCAGGTCATCGGTCGGTTCCCGTGAAAACAAAAACAATCGGCGGCGCCGCCGCGGGCATCCGAACGCGGTCGGCGGGACTCAGGGAAGTGGGGCCGGGGGTGGGGGGGACCAGCGGGCGGGCGCGGCGGCGACGCGCCGGGGTCGGGGCGCCATGGGGCAGGTGGGCACGGGCTGCGCGGGGCACCCTTGGCACCGCGGCTAACGTGCCCGCAGCCTCGCCACTTCAGCCGCCCTCGCCGTCCGCCTGGGGGACGAGGAGCAGGACGCGGCCTCGGCCGGGCCCGGGCCGAACGGCTGCGGACACCCGGGCGCCAGGGAGCCGAGCGCCGCCACCTCCGGGATGGATCAGTGCGTGACTGTGGAGCGCGAGCTAGAGAAGGTGCTGCACAAGTTCTCGGGCTACGGGCAGCTGTGCGAGCGCGGCCTGGAGGAGCTCATCGACTACACGGGCGGCCTCAAGCACGAGATCCTGCAGAGCCACGGTAAGGCGGCCGGGGTGGTGCGTGGGGCAGGGCCCGCCCGCTCGCGTCCCGCAGGCCGTGGCGGGCCAGGCGGGTTGCCTTGCGACTGCCGGCCGAGCTCCCGCCTCCCCCCAGGCGCGGAGGCCCCTGGACCCCTGGACTTCCTGGAACCTTCCCCATCGCTTGTTAGTTAAGATCTCCTCATTAGTAGGTTTCCACCTGGAAACCCATCCCGGGACTAAGGGCTAAATTTGCGTGGGGGCCGGTCTACCCGGCCGGGCACCCCCAGCCCGTCTGGGCTGGTGGGTCTCCTGTGGTCCCCTCGGCTTGGTTCCGCAGGCGGGAGTTGTGTTCGACCCGATGGGCTGGGTGATACGTCTCAGTGCAAGAACCCCAACTTTTTCCCCTGTGCCAAATCCTTGGCAGGGGCTACTTAAGTTTTTCGCTTTTAAATGAGAAAGTCAAGTGTCAGACAGCCACTCAGACAACTTCGTCATTTGATTACTGTGTGGAAGCAGGTCTTCTTCAACTCTGCAGCTTCTCTGATGCTGATTTCTGGGAAACTAGATGAATCAAGCTGTTGAGGTCTCCCAGTCTGGCCCTGGTTGAGACTGAGGAAAACGGACAACTCTTTGCAAAGGACATTGTGGCATACGTTGCTTGTTAGCTGCCTTATTGATCAAACCTTAACTTGTTTTCCTTTCAGAAAGTAGATTTTCAGCAAAAGGTGTTTTACGTAGGTTATTTCGGATATTTTGCCGAAGTTGACACATGGAAACTGGTTAGAAAGTGTTTAACAGTAAAGGTTTGCTATCTCTGCATTGAAGTGTTGGGTTAATTTCCTTCAGACCTAGAAGTAAAGGACTTCATTTAAATCGATTTGTTGAAAGGGAACTGAAATTTACATAAAGGAAGGTTTGATAGCTGGGATGAAATGCAGGTATTTGTGGCAGATGAGGTGGGACCCTGGCATTTGTCAAGCTTCTTCCTTCTTCCATTCTTTTCTTTCCCACACTACTTTCAGTTGAGAGTCAGTGCTAGTCCAAGTAATGAAGTTTTTTATCTCTTTGGGGTACAGCAGGCACTTTTGAATTCCAGGGAAGATACAAACCTGCAGCTATAGTGGGGATAGGTGCTGAAATATTAATATGGAAAAATGAGCAGACTAGAGTGCTGCCTGTGGAGGTGGAATAGAGTGGGAATCCCGTGAAGCTTTGGCGCATCTGTTTTGAGACACATGAGGTAAATCCGAAGGGCTGATGAAGTAGAGTCCACGGCTTAATGTTTACTGGTGGCTGAAGATTCATAGATAAGAGTTTGGGAGAAAAGTGCAGTCTAAGATGGGTTTCTGGTGCCATTTCTGCGACAGAGCATGAAGGAGACTTAGGATGTAGGGAGGCAACTATAGAGTCAAACCAGAGACTTGAACGTCTCTGGACAGTGGAGGGCACAGAGCCAGCAGAAGCTGAAAATGTTAGGTTTAGTTAAGAAAAAGAGCCGGTCAGTTGGTCATTTGGTATGTGGCTACTGGAAGTCAGGGACCCTATCTGCTTTGCAGTTTCATAGAGTTGAGACAAACCAGATTACTGGGAGTTAAGAAAAGTAATGATGCAGACTGAGGTGTAAAGAGACTGCTTAAGTACCTGGTGGAAGCTGTCTCTTCCTTCATTACACTAGAGAGTAAAGGCTGAAAGGATGAGAATGGGTGAAAGGTATATATGTGGAGCGGTTGGAAGGAATATTTTCTTTTTAGGGACCAGTTTAGAGATTGAGGTATTAGATAGGCAGAGTTTGAAAGGAAGAAGGTGGAAAGTAAAATACTTTTCTTCTATTAGAATGAAAGAAGGTATTAATTAAAAGATGATTGATTATAAGTCTCGCTTTAGAAAATTCGGGGACAGTTTCAGACCATAATTGTGAGGCATTGTCAAAGTAGGAGTTATTTTAGATCTTTTTTGCTTGGTTTCAGGGAACTTTTAAGGGAATTTATGGTCTGAAGCATAACTTGGTGAATTGTGTATGTTCCTTTTCTAGTTTTCTTTTTCACCCGTTTGTCTACAAATTGCATTTTTTAATATTGTTATTTCTTTAATTCATAGTAATGGAGTTAAGTGACTAGAGGCAGTTATAAAACATGAAAGAAAAATAAATAACCATACACTCCAGGTCTAGTTTTCCAAAATAAAATCTCTTTTCAAAGAATATATATATTTCTCTGCTTCCTACAGACTCTTCCCTTCCCCTCTTAATTTTTGGATAATATGATTTCTCCACTCTGGGGTGGTGACCAGTTCTCTGACCACTGAAGCACCCATAGTCCATCACTATATTTATTCTCTTGGCACCTCCTGCCCCCTTATGGGTGTCTCATTGTCTTTGACCTATATTTTCTGTATGGGTCTGTATTTCTCATGTAAGTGAAACCATCTGATACTTATCTTTTTCCTTCTAAATTATTTCACTTAGCATCAACCCTTCCAGCTCCACCCATGAGTTTATCTTTTTTTGATTGCTGAGTATAGTAGTGTGTATATTAACACATACCACATCTTAATCCACTCATTTGTTTGGGGTCATTTGGGTTGTAGCCATATCTGATGTAGCTATTGTTAAGTAGTGCTGCAACAAACACAGGAGTGCAGGTTTCTTTTCGAATTAGTGTTTTTATGTAATTTTGGGTAAATTCCTAGTATTGGAATAGCTGGGTCATCTGGCAGATCCATTTCTAGTGTTCTGAGGAAGCTCCATACAGCGTTTCATAGTGGCTGAATCAGCTTACATTCCCATCAGCAGTGTAAGAGGGCTCCCTTTTTCTCATGACCTTCCCAGCATTTGTCAAAGCAGATACTTTCTAAAGTTCTCTATAGGTGACATGGGTAATAGAGTGAATCTTAACTATGCTGTCTCAGAAGTTGAATTTATTAAAATCTGAACTTGAAACTCCATTTTCAGCTTTAAAGAGAAATTATCAGGGCTTCTCAGTGTACCTGGCTGTGCAAGTGATCTGTTGGGATCTCGTTGTCTGGGGCTCTTTGTCACAATGTTCTTAGAAGAATGTGACATGAGTAAAACAGAATTTGGGAGTCATACATGTCCCCCAACACTGTATCATATTGGTGGTGAGTGATAGTTTCAGGACTGTCCTTTAGTGAAGGTCAGGAGAATGGTTCACCTCTTGAGGGTGAATTCTACTTTCTTATGTTTAAATTTCCTTGCTGTGAGAAGACAGCTGTATTGAGAGAAGTTTGAGGAGTCTATGGTAGAAAAGTAGTGTACATAAATGGATTTAGTTAGTAAACCCACTGACCACCTTCATCCACTCTCATCAGCCTTATTCCAGTTTGTGAACACTGCCCCAGTGGGGGCTAGCCTGGCAGCTGGCCTGGAAATAGTCCTGTAGTGAGCCCTCAAATCTCTTTCATCAGCTCTAAATTAGAGCATTTTTTTTTTATAATGCAAATCTTTTGATTCAAATACCTTTGAGAAAATAATGGTGGTGCTCCACCTGGTGAAATTACCTTGTGCTCTTCCATTCAATCTACCCCTAACCAAGTCCAGTCTGGGAAAGGAATTTTTTTTTTTTTTTGATGGGTCTGTCAGGCCTATGGTAGAGGAGTAACTACAGAATATAAGGCTCTGAGTGGATGTCATTGCTGGTTGGGGGATTTTGGTGGTATAGGAGCAACATAGTAAGAATGGAAGTATTAAGAGGCAGTAGGAGAGCTAGGGAAAATATTAAAAAGGTGTACTGATCCTATTCCTCTTCCTGGAGGTTTCACTTTTTGCCCTTTGGATTTCCCTAGAGACCTTAGGGTGGTTGATGGAAGGATGGTGGGGTGGTCCAGATCCTGCAGGGTGAGAAGTCTTATGTAAAGGGATTAAAAATTAAGGTCCAGGGCTGTATGTTAGGTGTAACTTTGCACTCTAAAATTTGGGATATATATATATATAAATATATATATATGCACACACACACACACATACTGAAAGTTATGTATATATATGTATATGTGTGTTTGTAAAGTTGTGTGTGCCTTGCAGAGCCTACCATTATTAAATGTATTGTGTTGAATTAATGTAAGGATCAGGGATTAGTGCAGTAGTTGTTTACTTATTCAGCTTTATTCTTTGGTGTACTTGAAATAGACTACATAGGTTGATTTCCTATTTGTTAGCCAATCTTTTTGCTAAATACCAACAAGATACTCTTGAGAGAATAAAAACTTTGAGTTTTTAATTGAATAAAATTGATAGCGGTGTTTAATATCTAGTCTGGAAATAGCAGATAAGTAGGTCAGAAATGGAGCTTGGGTGGATAACAGTATCCATTGCTCAAAAACTCTTTAAGAGGAGTGTGACCGGTTACCAAGCTAGCTGGAGTTATAAGTCAGTTGGTTCCAGAGGGCTTTCGAAGTAGATTTGACTTTGTCAGTCATTCTTTTCCATGCTCATTTGGGAGCACGTACGTGTGTGTGTACCAGTTGGCACCCTATTCATTTGGACTAGTATGCTGTTCTGGATTCTTTTGGTTGTAGGAAGCAGAATAGTTTTGATTAAAATGGAATTTGTTCACTCATACCTAGATAAGCTGAGGTTAGGCCAGGCTGCTTCAGAGGCTCAAAGGATGTTACAAGGTTTTCCTCTCTTCTCTCAACTGTGCATCCATGGTTGGCTTCATTCTCTTTAGGAGCTTTTTCTACATGAACATTTTTCCATTGGTATGTGACCAGTGGAGCTCATATTATCCTTTAACTGTTAGTGACCCCAAATACTGGACTTTGTCCATGTCCAACAGAATTACCTGGGGGTCTCTTTATTTGCTTGTTTGGGTTGGTTAAGCTTCTACCTAGTCAGTTAATGAGGCTGGGACATGGAGTTCTTTGACTGTCTTGGGCTCTGCTTATCCTGTGTTAGGAGATGTATGACCATATTACCAGTGCATGAACAAGGGGATCTCAGGGAACCCCTTCCCTGCAAACTCCTCTTAAGGAGTGCATACTCTAAAGGGTTTGGCTATCTAT